CGCCTCCATTTTTGTGTTTCTCATTCAAACCCTTCAGTCAGAGTCATCCAGTACAACAACAAAACGACTTGAATGCACACCTCAACTTAACTCAACTTTATTTATATTGCACCTTGGATACAAACATGCAGCCCAAAGTGCTTCACAAAGCAAAACCGAAACAGCACATACACAAACAAAAATGAACAACAATAAATAAAATGTTGCAAGGCTAAAGATTACTACAATAGAAACAGTAAAAATATATAAAACATAAACACCAGGGAGAAAAATAATGTAAAAACCAATGATTAAAACCTAAAAATTATAACATTACTCCAAATTAAAAGCCAGATTAAGAATTAAGATTTTTTTTTAATACTGAGAGAGCTTGTCATTATAATATCCAGAGGCAATGAGTTCCACAGTTTAGGGGCATACAAACAGAATGCACTCCCACCAGTACTTTTATAGGACACAAAAGGAACAAAAGACAAGTAGTGGAGGACCTCAGTGATCTGGCTGGAACACAAAATGAATAAAGTCTCTGATGTAAAGGCACCTGACTCATTCGAGTTTGGCAAGCCCTTCACTGCCACACCATTCCTGTTCTAATATTAAAAACTGACTACACTATCTTGGAGTAGTTTCTACAGCACTGTTTAAATGGATTATTGTATATATTGTATGAATATAATAATATTAATACCCAGTATTAATAAGTTACTATTAGTGCACGAGAATTTCTTTACAGGCACTGACTGGTTCCTACATTAACATACCTTATATCTATACTGGTTATTTGACATGAAGATTTTCTGGTTTCACAGTGGGTGGGGTGTGCTGGAAAAATGTGATGGCAGGTTTTTCACCAGTATTATTTAATGCATTTACAAGTGAGCTAAAACCAAATACATAAGAAAGGCTAAATGGAGAAAATAGTCAAATACCACAGTAATCATTTGGGCATGATTATGTCAGCATACAGTATCTGATAATAATCACTTACACATATCAGTATTAGCCTTATTTTACGTATGATCCATGATGATAGAGGTACAGCTTGAACTGGAAATCATAAGATCATAAGATGCCAAATAATAGGACCATTCAAGCTATATACAGTATAATACCAATTATAGAGCAACGTGTTTTGGGCTCTCTTCTGTTTTCTGTTCAAAACCATGGATGTGTCTCACATTGGTCCTGAATGTTTCAGTTGATAGATAAGCATTGTATTCAAGGCTGGATTAGCAGGAAACTGCTCCAGGGCTTCAGGTTCACTGTGTTGGACTCTGCACCACTAAAGCAGGATATAAATTAAGCCAGGTCCTGGATTATTGCAGCATAGTAGTGCTGGCTGTGTTTAGTGTTTCTGGGTATAACAGGATGAGAGGGAAGGGAACTTGGACATAACAGAGGACAGTGTATTGACTGTGGGAGTTGGCAATAAATAAATAATAATAAATAAATCATGAGGGGTAATAAATAATGAAAATGATTTTGGGCACGGAGCAGGTTACTAGTTCAACAACATCAGGACACTGATGACCACTGACATTATTCACGTGTTAATTTATGCAACTTTTGGGGACAATACAAAGACTTCATATTCACAGATTCATTTCCTAGACACTTACCTTAACCATAACCATAACCACTACTTGCCCAAACCTAACCTTAACCTCTGACCCAGAAACCAGCCTTTTCAGAGGAACAAGACAGGACCAAAGACATTTTGCTTCTCTGTCCTTTATCTGAAATGTATCCCTGATGGCTGCCTTAGTCAGACTCATGACAGCACATGATAATGATGTAACAGCATGTCTCCCTGGAGGTAAGTAGACAGCAGTATGAAAACAAAGGTCAAGTTGTTATCTCTGAAAGGAGGATTTTTAAAAAGAGCTTATAAGTTGTATGGATGCTACTGTATGTTTCACTCGCAGTGGTTCAATAAAAAGTTCTTCATAAAATAAAAGAGCTTATGGAACTGACAAAATACTTCAGCTAATGAAATTAAAAACAGACATTGATTTAGGCATGCTTATTTGCAGGCACTGACACCAGACAGTACGGTCACCATCACTCACTAAGGGACAAACAAATGAACTTGAACCAACAATCAGTGTTGAGACACAGCACTTTTCTTTTTCTGTGAATATTTTCTTCAGCATTTTCAAAGCCAAACATACAAACACAAAGCAAAAGATAACAGCACAAAATTAAAATCAAATGGACACAACAAAATAATGAAACTAAACAAATCACTGAGAGACACAAGACATCTCACCTGAAGGATCATATGGTCAAGAACATCCTCGAAATAGGAAGAGCATATAAACACAGGTGACACCGTTCCATTTAGTGTGGCAGAGCCTTTCCAGTGAGCCAACATGCCCAATAGCAGTAACCCTGACTCTGTTTGACCTGAATGGAACGGAACCTCGATTAACCTTCAACCTCCAGGAGTCTCTTCCCCAGTCCTCTGCATTGCTCTCTATACTCTCACTTCAGGCAATGTACTTTCCTCCAACCCCCCTGACCTGCCATCCACTAACTGTCCACCAGATGTCCTTGGACTTTCCCTTCTTCCCTCACCACCTGACTGCCCACACACCTGTTCCCACTGCTCATCAGCCTTAGCTTCTCCGCCCATCTCCTCCCCTGCACCTCATTCCACAATCAGCCACCATCAGTTCACTTCCTTTGTTCTATTCCAGACTACGTTTAGTTTCCATGCTTCAGGTCTTTGCTTTCTGCCTGCTCTTTGACCATGTACCTGTTCTGGACTGTATTTTTGTGAATAAATCATTAAACTGATCCTGTCAGCCTGCTGCTGTATGCGATTGTCTCCCACTCCCGTTGTCCTGATCAGGTGGCCCCGTCTGAAAGCAGAACAACACTTCGCAACACCAATGACAAGTACACAATCCAAGAGAAACTTCCCCAGTCTGAAAAGAATAAAAACATACACAGAATGCAATGGAACATGGGAGATTGAGCGCCCTGGCAATTAAAATCAAAGCATCCATGGACTGTTGGATTATAACAGCACGGTCATAGAGAAGTGTCGTTCCTCTTCAGGAAGTGAAGCATTTTGAGTGCAACACACAGGTTTAACACACAGATGTCAGATGGCAGTTTGTAATGGACTTATTGTTATGTGGAATTAATGAGGTAGTTTGCTAATTGTTTTGATGTTAGTAAGTGTGTGTGCTCTCTGTGTGGGCTGCCTGAGAGAGCTGTTCACCTCTCTGTGATGCTTAGATGGTTTTCCTGCAGTACAGTGTGTGTGGTGGTCTGGTGTATTGACTGTCATGTACTTGCAGTGTGGTGTTTACGGCAGGACTTTTGCTCTGTGTTTTTATTGTCCTCCTGTTGGTGTTGGTTCAGTCATATTTGGTGTTGAAAGCCCAGATGAAAAATATTTTTAACCCTTTAAGATTATTATTAGTGTACCCCTATTTAACAATGTATGCCTAAAATGTGAGCAAGTGTGCATCTACCAGTTTCCACCAATAATATCATGGCATCTCCCCCTCAATCGATCTTTGACGACGCAGAGCTCAGATTCATTAGTTATGCTGTAGCATGGCTTTCCTTTATGTTTCTGGGTGCTGGGCCTCACTGATTTCTCTACAAAAACACAACTTTATAAGTGATTTGGGTGAAACTGGATCATATTTTATGGAGAAGCACTGCTGCTGTAGCTCCTGTTAGCGTGTAAAATCCACATGAAGTCTCAAGCAGGAATGGACTGTGGTTCAGATACGGCCCCTCCTTTCACTGCCACTCCACTCCTCACCTCATCAGATAACAGACCAGTTGAACTTGATGGTTGTGTCACCGTGACCTTGCAGCTTCCATCAGTGCAGTGTTGGTGAAGCAATGCTGTGTTTGTAGTATAAGGTGTGTACAGCCATTCTAGATGTAATCACTTCTCCCAGTGGGTCCTACGTTGTGTAATATTTGAAATTGTTATTGCATAACTGTCAGTAGGTTCTAAGAGCATCTGGAATACTGTACAGATGTCATCCTCTAAATACACTGGCCTTGGGTAATGAATTAATTAATACATGATTAATTAAAACATGTCCTTTAAATGAAGGCAAAAACTTAAAAATAAGCTCTCTGTAGACATAAATAACTACCTTTCTTGTACAGGCCAGAAACAATGAGTTTATTTAATGATCCTGTCTCATCTACACCAAAATCCTTAAATGTTTTATATCATAGCACCTTTTATATATATTATATTATATTATATTACATTATATTATACAGGATTAATATAGCTGTACCAGCATAGCACAGCAGCCATATACTGTATTAATTATTCATAAAGCCCTATTGGGAACATTGCTTTATATTTAACATGACTTCTACAAATCCAAAAAATAATTTTAACACTGACTCCCTTTTACCTTCTGTTAATTATATTAATGAAACTAAAGTATTATCTAATTTAGTTTACAGCTCAAACAAGTTCCTCTTTACCTCTGCCTTTATTAGCACTAGGAGGAGCCAGAGGAATGCGTATGTCCTCTGCTCACATAACCATCTTTCAGATGCTGTAGTGCTCAGCCTTTGGCACCTTTACTTTGGACACTGGAATATGTGGCCCAAACTATTAGAATATCGCTCAATATGGCAAGATAGTCTTAAAATATAT